TAACGTAGTGCAAGCTGAATCCTTGGGTTCCTTTAAATCAGAGCTAGATATGATTTTAACAACTCTGAGCTATTAGTTAAGTTCTCCCCAAGCGAGCTCGATGGGCCGAATGGCCTCCTCTTGTTTGTTTAGTTCTTATGTTCTTATTAACCTGGCAATTTCTTGTCACAGTGGTACAACTGAGGACTTATTTTATGTGCATTTACGCTGTTATGAGGAGAAATCATTGTGCCTTTTAGCCTTCATAGCACAAAAGAAGTACATATTAGCCACATAAAGGTTAAAATGCACAAGAATTTCTAAGATAAATACGCATTTGCGCTGCTACGACAAGAAATTGCAGAGCTTATCGCTGTATACGGTGAATGCGTACTTGCGTACCAGTTACGTGCACTCCTGGTTATTAAATCACTCCATCATAAGGAAGAAAACTGTCCCAGTGCCCTTGGGGGGGCAAAAGGTCACCTGAAAGGGCAGTCCTACACACCAGGTGGGTGTATGAGAAGTGCAGCGTGGAGTTGAGCATGAAGTATGACTCTACAATCCGCCTGACTTTCTCGCTCACGTCGTAAAAGAGGCGGACATTTTTCCACTGGATCCTCCCCTCATCAGCAAACTGAAACAAGAATTATTTAACAAGCAAATTAGTTATACTGTGTAATGAGATTCCCACCCATTTTGTAATCTAAATCGAGCATTTTCCAGTTTGTCTCCCTCAAATATGTCCGCCTGCTTTCATTATGCACTACAGGGCCAGATGAGCCGCACTTGGCAAAGAGCTTAATTCAATTCCATTAATGGCCATGTGGTGTCCGACTGCTAGCAGTTATTGCAGTAGAACATTAAGCAGGAAAGAAGCCAACAATCCGACTTCATTTCTCAGAGGCACTGAGGAGATTGAAGCTGAATCCCTGCAGTTACAGTGTTCACAGAAAGCAGTTACAGTGTTCACAGAAAGCAGTTACAGTGTTCACAGAATGGGGGACGCTTCCTTAATTCTGTAAATATGTTGCAAATGTATTGGTTTCATAACAAAAGTCCATTGACAAGCGATGTCTAACATAACTGTACATGTCTTTTGCCCAAACATTTTCACTTTACAGATTCATTCAGTTCTGTTTTTGTCATTCTGTTATTAATTGCAATTGTAGTCACTGTTTCCCAAAGGGATACTAAACATAAATGTTTTGCGTTATTGCAAAGGTGTTACTGATAAAAAAAGCACTGGGTGGTTGCTTGTCAATGAACTTTTTAATTCCAAACATCTGTTTTAGAACTATAATTTGGGTTTCAATTTATTACTACTTGATATTAATATTTTATTTAAAACTACTGGTTGCTTCTAAAGTGACATATATATTATGTAAACCAATGAATAAAGTAATGATTTTTTATATTTATTGCAATATTTTTTTCTGAATTAAGCAAGCATCCTAAGACTTTCTGTGAGCACGGCGTGTATATAAGGATGTTCTTTCCAAAGCAAAAGAGATGTTCGAAAGATTAACAGCAGGGCCCTGAGACATCGATCGTAAGTCAAGTCAAGCACCTCAACCACTAACCTACCATTTTGATCCTCAGACCTCAACTTTGACCTGTGACCAGTTGTACTCACCCGCAAAGCTTTTAAGATTGTTGAACCCTCAAACTTCTCATTTGGAGTGTGGGGCGATGGATCACCATTGTACCCATCACCAGCTGTGCCTACAACCTGGCAGATCATCAACAGGCAGCCACCTTCAGTGGTCCATGTAGACAAAAACCTTTTCATTCTGTTACACGTTGTGTGCTTACGAAGGAATCATGGTACTGATCTGGCATCCTTTTACGTTTTTTTTAGAAAATTGCCTTGATAACTATGATCAATTGGTAATTTCAGAAAAAGAGGACTAGAGAACTAGATCAAAATGTGCCGCAAGTGCAGGACACATTGTATCAGAGGCTCACGTCGGCCACGTCTCTCAGCTCCCTGCATTCCTCCCCGGAGATGACGTTGTCCAGCAGGACCCTCTGGGAGCCTTTCAGCCCCTTGGAGTTCTGCACCAGCTGAATGTGATCGTGAAGCAGTGGCCCCCCTGCACAGAACCCGAAACCCCAAGGGTCAGGCTGCTCTAGGAGTCTCAGTAACGCTTCTTCTCCAAGATGGAGCTTTCATCCAAAGTGCAGAAGCATTGCAATTTAAAAAAAAAAAAAAACTCACTGAACAATCTGACCAATTTATGGAATTTCACCCCATCCAGGATGCAAATATGGGGGGGGTCATATGTCTCATTGCATAATGGCCACCTGCTGACCACCTACTTGTCTAATAGACTAGGGATTACCAAAATCCCAACCCTTGGTCCACTGAACGCTACACATCTGCAGTGTATATTACACTATGTGGGTTTTGAGCGGAGTTGGTTCATTTACAAAAATAAATTCTATATATTTTCAAACCACTCCTTTTTTATGATCCTTCACAATCACTCATTTTGACCCCCCCTCCCCTGTCCACAGGGTCCAAGAAATGTTTTACAACATAAATTGGTTCACAGTCACCAAAAGGTTGGGACCCCCTACAATAGAAAACAAACCTTTATCTATTGGGACTTCATGCATTGTGACAGTAGGATATAAAAGCTGATGCCTTTTCAGTTATATATCTGGCGCATGCAGATTCTGGCCGGTGACACCACCATTGTGCAGAACAAAGGCTGAACATCATTCTGGGGTTCTTCCAGAAAGGACCCACCCTCTGTCAGCCTATAGTCCTGCTCCAAGCTGGTGTCCATCTCTACTGACGTGGCCGTGGAATCTGTAGTTCCACTGGGGCCCGAGGGGACCCTGTACTCATTTGGAAAGAAAAAGAAAATATATATATATATATAATATATTATAAAATAATGCATTGTAATTGTTTGTGTAAGAATTAATAAAACATTACAGCATCTTCTATTGACAGTTATAAGGCATTATAGTGTTGATTATAATACTTCATAAGCTCCAATGAAGCTCTCATCTATAATGCACTATAGATACTTTCATAATACATTATAATGGTCGGCATAAGCATCAAGGATGCTTTATACCACATTATGAAGGTATCTATAGGCAATCACAGATGAGAGCTTCATAAAGCATTCATAATGCTTAATAAACATGGCTATAACGTGTTATGCCTTTTTATAAATATTTATAGCCATGTTTATAATGTTTTATGAGTGTAATGTAATGTGTTATGAATGTGCTGATAGATTCTCATAGACATGACATTCATAGAAAGTGTTAGCAATATTTTTAATATTGTGATTTAATTTTTAAATCACAAACTCTATAAACTCCTAGTTTGGATCCCCCAAAAAAGTAAGCAGTACGGTTTTACTCCATCAAAGACTGAAGCTGCCCCTTAACAATTCAGCAGATTGGTTATTATTTAAGGGTCATTTCATACTGACTAAATGAGACCTAACCTGTTGGTGTCCTTCCGTCTGAGAGTTTGGTGCCAGTAATTCTAAAAAGAAGAAAAATTCAGATTATGAATATATCAATCAGGGAGGTTGGAAGATATTACCTACGTGTATAAAAACATTATATGCTATCAGAATATTAATAAAAAAAAATTTTTAAAAAGTCAAAATGTCATTATTGTTTTAACTGCTGAAATTACTCATTAGATCAATTGATTTCCTGCAAAATATTATGTGCCCCCCCACACCAAAAAAATGTCATATTCAAAAACTATGATCAACATTCACATTCGAGGTTTTGACATACATTGCAATTAAATTGTATACTTTTTTTGCTGTGCACAATCCAGCATCATGCTTTCATTAAAAAATAAATAGGTATAACTACCATTAAAAAGTGTCAGAAAATTGGACAAACTCTCTCCCTTCTCCATGCAAACACTAACTGACTATTAATTGCTTGATTGTTCCCCTAACAATACGATAAAGATAACAGGTGTGATGTGCAGTGTTCTGTCAAGAATGCTAGAAGGGTCCACAAGGGGGAGCTGTTGTTGTGGAGTCATGAGTTACCTTACTACTAAGGAGAAGATATCTTTAAATATTCTGTGACTGATTGACACTGAATTATCAAAAGATTCTGAGGTCAAATACAGGTCAGACCCACATGGCCAGTGCTGGGCCCACTGCTCTGCTCTTTATGAGTTCTGCCCCTTAAGAATATCATTATCAAACATAGTAGTAACTATCATTCCTATGCTCAAGCCAACTTACTCTAACCTCAGTGTGAGTCTTTGGGGATTGGATGATCCAGAACTTCCTTCTGTTCAACTCCAGTCAGAGAGAAATAATCTCACAAAATACAGTTACAATAACATACACTCTGTTTTAAACCACCGTTGCCTGGGACTTAATCCGATAACAAGTCCCAGGATCAATACACACTGAGTAATGAGTACTGAGTACTGCTATGTTGCTTTAGGACTTTGCATTCCTTCTGTGTCTAGTGTGTCAGAAGTGTGGTTTAGTGGTCTGTTCAGTTCTGTCTTTTTTTTCCTGTACCCTGGTTCTGGGTTTCTCCTTGACCACGCACACTGGAGTCGTTTCTCCCTGACCACGCACACTGGAGTCGTTTCTCCCTGACCACGCACACTGGAGTCGTTTCTCCCTGACCACGCACACTGGAGTCTCATTCTGCACCCTCATCCAGTCAGCAGCCCCAAGCCCCAAAGCTTACCTGATCCCGGCCGCCTTCTCTCCAAGACATACAGAGACTGAAAAGCTGGCAGTACGAGGGGGGATATTTGCTTCAGAGTGTCTTGCAATTTGTGTTTTGTTTGGTCATACAACAATAAAACCATTGTGACATTCTCGGACCATGGAGTTTCTGCCCTGATGTGAATTCTTCGATTACAGGCCTTGCAACATGCATAAAGAAGATTTGTTTACATTAGAAAATACATCTGAAGAATCAGCTTCCTTTCATCTGTGGAATATGGCCAAGATGCCTGTGAATAATACAGAAAGGCTGGCCAATGTCTTCATTACCCTGACAGTGGGCCACTATATCACTTTCATGTCTGGCTCAATAAACGCTCTCCTAAAATATCCTGAACTGGTGTAGAATCTTCTATTACTTTTGGGGAAAAAAAACACAAGGACAAACTCACCTCCCTTCACTGGCAGCCATGGAGTGGAACAGAAAGTACTAATTCTTATTTACAGTTTTAAAAGCACTTGCTTCAATGTATTCTTGAGATCTGTATCTCCCAAACACTCCCCATTCATTTTGTATAACAAAATGATTACACCACCATTGTATTGTCTCATCATCATAGAATTGCTGTTTGACAAAATACTCCACCAACTCATGCCAAGGATTCAAATGGACAGAATCTCTCTTGTAGTTGAAGGGGGTAGATCCTGACTGCAGAGCTGCTGGTGCATAAAACAGTCTGTGTTGTCAGGCAATCGTTACATTCAGCTACAGTAAACGGCTGTCACTGCTTCTCCTTTTTTATTTCACTTCAGTAGTTAATTGCACCAGAGCTATTTCTCATTGCACTTAAATGACTCTGCTTCTATAGAAAATGATTAATCAGCTTCTGTAGAATATAACGATTAATCAAAAACAATTCTTGCCACTATTTCCTGCTCTCACTCACGAGTCTCAGTCAGCTAATGAATACATGTGTTGCCGTGACGTGGAGTAGAGACAGTTTGTCTACACTAGTCTGCTATCAATACTCTGCATGTAAGAGATGGATCACTTTTGCTCACCCCCAGTCACTATCAGCTGCACTTTGGCATTTTGTGATTTTATAAGCACTCTTTTTACAGGAGTACTTCTTTTAAAGGTCAGGAAGCAATTTCCACCTTTCCTGTGACTTTGCTGTTTTTTTAACCCACTAATTCCTTGCTTAACCATATATCACTGCTTAATGCCTTACGACGACATACTGTAAATGCGCATCACTAAACCAGCATGATATGTCGCGGTCATGAATCTGGAATAAAACTTCCTGCTGGGGGTGTCGTCAGTTACCTGCGGTCCCTAGCATTTACTTTTGCAGCCACCGGAGATGGAAATCCTGGTTGAGCGGTAACTACGCTCACCGGCAGAATCTGCAGGGAGAAGCTGGGGGTCTGATCTCACTCACCTCTGGTCTGAACTCGGATCCCCGGCTCTCGCTCTCCACCAGGAACAGCTCTCGCTCCATCTCGTGCCGCCTGAAGTACCACTCTGCCTCCTGTGGAACAGCATGACGATCCAAGGCTGCATTATTCCTCTTGTCAGTCACCAAGAGAAGCTTTTTCCACTGGGACGTCGTTGAGGAATTTTGACATTGTTCCTGAAATAGCCGAATTACTTCCAGGTGCACATCTGGTAAACAGTCATCATGTTCCAAGGGTTTTACTTCTAAGTTCTGGAATAATTTTAAATGTATTCACTAGAATGCGGCTTGTCCCTACAGAATAGGACAGGTTCCAAACCCAGTCAGAGCAATGTAATTATTTTCTGTAAGGATAATAACCTGGGTCTATAACCAAGGAGGCTTGTGGCAGATATATGTCTGATACAAATCTGAGCAAAACTAACAATAATGAAAAGGTTTCTCCACTAATACTCATATCACTGTTTCCCAATATGGTCTTCGAGGACTGACAGACTGCCCACGTTTTTGATCTACTGGGAGCTGGGAGGAACGGACTTGGAGACATTGACTTATACTTTTACTAGCCACTGTGATACGGCAAGCGGCTGCGGATCCGCCAACGCACCAACAGTCGCCGTTCAGCACCAGGCGAGCGGACAGCAACAACAGGCCTCTTATGGTCAGCCTGGAAACACGTGAGGGGGAGGCTAACAAGATGGCCGCTAACTGCTCCAACCCAAAACCAGGACCGTCTTCCCCAGGGCAGCTTCAAGCCTGTGCTGGGGAGAAGCTAAGGGTTCATGGGAGTTTTACTCACACGAAAACGCTCTGAGGGCAGAATGAAAAATGACTTGTTCGGAGAGATAGCCAATCAGATTGTAGAGGAGGTGGGTCCGAGCAACTACAGGAGGCGGGGCCAAGCAGAAGTTTTAAGTCACTGGGGTTTAAAATATGTGTGTATGAAACCAAAAGAACAGAAGCACCTTGTTTATGGTGGGAAAATCCATCCATGTGATTCTGCTGAAAAACTGACAGTGGGCTCTCTGCCTTAAATGAAGACCCAGTTACCTGCTACCTACTCATCACCAGATCTGCACCCCCCCCCCCAGCCCCCCATGTGCTGTTTTGCAGAAGGGTCCAAGGTGGGGTGGGTTTTGCGTCTCTACATGTACTCTAAGTTCAGTCACAGGTGGCTGGGTATTGCCGTAAATGGGCTAGCAAAACATAAAAAAAAAACAGGAAACGTGTGGTTAAGGCCGGAGTTTACTGAGACAAGAATAACTGGCTGAGGTTTAGAGAGGCACAGCACTTCCGAGAAAGGGAACCATAGTTAATCTGAAGGTGTCTGCTGCAAATGGAGGAAGCCGTGCTATTGATCATGTATTGCAATGTGATGATGCAGGAGATCTCGCATGCAGGAACATATAAGATACATATGATAACAGCTGTGGTGGAAAAGATGCCAAAGTCAGAGGGTATGAAAGGAGCAAAGTTGTTAAATTAGGTTATTCGATGCATCAAATAAGCCGGGACACCGCGCCCACATACACAAGTGCCCAAAATTATTTTCTTGCACAGCTCCTTTATACTTCTGCTTCATGTTTATCATTCTATGAGATAAAAATGAAGGTTCACAGTTACTGTGTTCTCTGTGTGCAGCCAAACAGAACCGGTCAAGACCAGCTCTGCACTTATCGGCGTGACCCTCCCATCTGGTTGGCCACTCAGCCGCCCTCGCCTTTCACAGACAGACGGTACTTTGTGATCATAGCAAATATTCTCTAAGTAAACACAAAATCTTCCACTACGTCTAAACGAATAATTTTCACTACACAGCAGTGGTGTTTAGCTAATGGGGAAGAGATGGGAACAGTGGGCGGGAAGAAGCGTGAGGAGGTCAGAGAGTGCAGAGTGAGCTGAGACAAGACAGGTGTGTGTGGGGGGGTGGTGATAATTATGGGATAGGGTAACTAAGGGGGTAACCAAGGCAACTATGAAACCAAGGTAACTATGTATAAGTAATGTGCCTCTTGAGGTAGCAACCAATTGTAATTGGCATACCTCTTGAAGTATTAACCAATCATTGTTAATGAGCTTTTTGATAGGTGAATTGCTTTTTGGAGAAGTAGCCAATCATAGTATTGATATGCTTCTAAGGAAGCTTAAAAAAAGATATATAAACTGTGATATTTCTTTTGTTGTGTGTGTCACCATGTTGGGACGGGAACGGGGACAATCTGTTGCTTTTGCTTCTTTTCTGCGGATTAAAAGAAACTTTCTCTTACAAAGTCTCACTCTGAATTATTCTCGAGAACCTTAACAAGCACTCAAGTAGGGAAGGAGGGTCATTTTAGTAGTAGTGATATTTCCATCTTGCACAGCTGCTGTTTGATCCCTCACCTTCCGCGGCGTGACGTCATGCCCCAGCGTCTTCCTGTAGAACGCCACATTCTCCACCATGTGCTCCTCTCCCTTGTGGAACAGCAGACAGGCCTGGGCACTTGCCATGGCGTCCTGGATCTTGCCCACTGGAAGAGGCAGAGTGTGCTGCTTTCAGCACGTCTTACTCAATAGTCAGGCGGGCTGCCATTTTCAACCTGACAGGGATCTCCATAGGCGTTGATTTGCCGTTGTGTCGAGTTCCAAGAAAACCACACTTGAATATGGTCCTACTGTCAATGCTCCAAATAAACTAGAGTTGTTCCCTCAAAATCAACGGACAGTGTCCATCTGCAATTGATGAATTTCATTCACTGGCATCGCATCCAGCGTACACCCCAGCCTTGTGCCTTATGCTGCCCTGGACAGACTTCAGGTCCCCCCCCATCACCCTGACCAGAATAAATGATCAGATGATGGATGCATGAATTAATTACATGCAGGTCAGCATGTCTCCCAAACCCCATAGTGGGGTAGGCCTGTACAGAATAGGCACATGCCATATTCTTCTCCTTGAACGCTGTCCAACTCTAGACTTCTGAGAAACATGTCACCTCAATATGACAACTATTAAGAAGGACTGGGATGTTTTTGCTGTGTGTGTATGGATATTATCACCCTGGGGTCACAGCATTTCGTTTATACGACTCACAAAGACCCCAAGAGCTCTGGGAAATACAATGACGCTGGATGTGTACAGAGTCATATTATTAATAAAGGTCTGATTTTCACTGTTTACTAATAACACATTTACTAATTATTTAAAAAGCTTGCACCATTCTCTCAAAGCAGTAGTTCAGATTAGTGTTTGTATGCTATCCACAAACACATTTACACAGGATACACAGTAACACTGAGCTCTGCATTTCCTTGTGTCAGGTTTACTGTGCAGTCAGTTGGCATTATCATTGAGTTGCATCTATTAATCTTTATTCACTTCCTTCCCACTCATAGCTAATGGTGCCATGGTGTGGCTTACAGAACCTAAATTGCTACAACGTAACTCCACAATGCCACATTACTTATGAAGATTTTGAAATAATAATCTTTTCAATGTCGTACCTGATAAAAATCTCATGCCCTCTCTTGATTTGGCAAAATGAAACAAGTGCAGCAAAATATATGTGTTTCCATGTCCCTGATAAAAAAATAATTACCCATGAATATCAGATTTACGAGGCTAAATACGGTGTATAAAAAGGCCATTTTCAGAGGTGATTTACAAATGCTGCATATGCATCCCTCCAGATTCACAGAGCCATGCTTTCACATGTCATCACCCGACCATCTTTTACAAACAATGGAAAATATTCCAAAAGCGCCCTACAAAACACAAGCTATTATTTACAAGGGAGAGACATTCTGAAGTGGCCCATTGTGCCGTGCTTGGGATGGAAGGGCTGTAGGATAGCGTTTGGCACGCATCGCCGTGAGAACCATCAGCTCAGTGTTTTACTGCCTCACAAGCCTCCGTTATTCTGCCAACCCACCGCAGCACCGCGCTCCTGGAGGTGCAGAAGGGCTGAGATGGCTACCCTGCCAACCACACAGCCATTAAACCAATGCTCACCTTCCATACCCAGTTTATTCTGATTTCTTTACCTATTATTTTCTTCAGTTATTGTAACGTCCCGATCATGCCAATCCTCCTGTGTGCCACGCCCCCTCGTTAACCTCGTGTGGAATCCCCGTGTCTGTGCTTCTGGCCCCCATGCTGAGAAGCCACAGCCTTGTCATTGTGACACCAGCTTGTTATTTAAAAGGCTAAAGGCTTCGCTATGTGGTCACTCACTCTCTTGTACTACAATGCAGAATTACCAGCATTTATAGCTCATCTTATATTTCCAAATTTCCTAGTGTCTAAGTCGTTGGTCACCAACTGGCAGACTCCAGGTGGACCTAGACACACTCCAGGCCACGGGGACGATTACCCCCTCACGGTTGGCAAATTTTATCATTCTGGAACCTCCCACCAGATCAACGTTTTCTTTCTAGACGCAGCGTACTTTGGCTGAAGGTATTTGACCCCCCCAGGGAAAATAGCTGGGGACCCCTGGTCGATGCTGACCTTTGAAAACTACAGGGTGGGCCAGTTGGTTTACCTTTGAAGTAAGAAAACTGCAGGTAGTCGTAGTGCAGTGGCAGGTAGCTCTGCATGGGGACGTGGTGACCAGGGCGTGTGGCCAACTCTCGCACACATTCATGTTTGCAGTGCAGCACCTGGACAAAGTAATCTGAACACACACACATGAACAAGTCACTCACAGCAAAAGAACACCTGCATGTGGAACACCTGCATGTGGAACACCTGCATGTGGAACACCTGCATGTGGAACACCTGCATGTGGAACACCTGCATGTAGCTGGGTGCCTATTACAATTCTGGGATGCAAATTGGATGCTTTTTTCATACACAGTCAGTTTTTGTATCCTTTCCCTTGTTCTTGGGCTTTTCCCCCCACCAGCCTAAACCGGAATGTAATTAATCTGTATACATATGACACTTAATATCTGTTACCATGAACTGCCAAGGACAAGATAAGGTTAATTAATGGAAGAAAATTCCAGAACTTTAGTGTAAGGGTAACGCCACGGCCAGTGAAGCGATAAGCAAAGTTCAGAGATACCATCTGAAACTCGAGGCAGTGAATGGCTACGCATGTTCTCATCCACAATCGGCAAAGAAGATTTAAGAAAAAAAAAACTTTCAGGAATTATTTAAGAAATAGTTTTATGACCCTGCAGGATAGATAAGTGCATTTCGAAAAACTTTTCAGGCTAAATAATAAAATGCAGACCATTATATGGACATCTCAGATTCCTGGATGCTCAAGAGAGGCTCACTTCCTCAAAAATCAAACTTACAAATCTTAAATCACAGTGGAGAATAGTTGTCTTGTAGCGCTTATTAGACCCATATGCAAGGCTCTAATACGTAACGCAGCATGATCCAGAAGTATGAATGCACTGAAGTCACAACAATACTGTTGATGAAAGACATCAAGGCTCCACCCAAAGGGAACTTCATGGCCCCATTGTTGACCCAATTTGCAAGGCATGAGTGTGAGATGACTGGAAACTAGAGCATTCTGGAGGGGAAGCTTGGACTGGGTTTTTGGGTTAGATACAAGGCGACATTTTATGGTGCTTATCAGCGTACCAGAGATCAGCTGGTAGATGTTGCTCCAGAAGGTGGAGGGTGTATGATCCCAGAAGTTCTGCTGGTCCTCGCACAGCACCCTGCACTCTGTGTCTGCCTTGTAGTACTCCAGAAGGGCCCGCTCAAAGTGTCTGATGGCCTCCTCATAGTCTTCCTTTCTGTAGTGCTCTACTCCAACCAGGAAGACATGCTCCAGAAGGGGAAACAGAGAAGTGCATTTCCCGACGTTATGATAAACGATCTGAAACTGCTAATATTCCAAGAGCGTGCTGATCTTCGCTTTACCTCGCCTTGTAAATTGAGTTTGGGAAGTTGATTTCTGGATAGAAAGTGTATTCCTGTGTTTCCGGTGTAAATTGCTTGCTAATTCTGACGTGGCTGTAAAGGCTGCAGAAAGTGTGGCCTAGCAGCTATCGCCCTATGCCGGTAAACTTGGGTCCAGCCACTACAAACCATGTGGCCACACTGAGGCAGCTGGGTAATGACTGGAATATATAACCTTTCTGCACAGCAAGCGGTGTAGGGGAATAACATACCAACTGACAGTTGATGTATAAAGTCTGTAGGTGGCATTAGGCTTAATAAACATCAGAGCAAATAAACAGTAACAAGCAGCTATAACTGATCTCTGTTTACCTGGTGATACTGGGCCTCTCTCCCAGTTTGAAAGTGCTGGTCCCGCTTGGGGTTCTGGTCCTCTTCTACGTGTTCCAGGTTTGAATGGACACAAGATTCTGCTGCGGCTGCCTTGTCCTCCCCCCTCAGCTTACAAAGAAACACAGCATGTCTGTTCCACACAAAACTGTTGACCAAAGTCACCAGACAAAGTCATTTATAGTTCATTCTCTATCCCTAATCGTCAACGCAAGTCATGACCAAGGATATGTGGATCCCAAAATATAGATTCTTTCATTCTGAATGTTTCATTGTCAGAATCGATTCAGATGCAAAAAATACAATTTTGTTTTTGCGTGGTAAATTAAATATTTATTTTATCACAGGGAGCAGGATATGAACTACAGTACTACCAGTGAGGATCACCCATAAGGGGGGGAGAGAGGCGAAGATTTTCATTTCAGGGCCTAGACACGATCAATCTGCAGGCACCACCACCCAGCAAATGTAATCATTACTTAGTATTGGGTTGAAATAAATATCAGTGGTATCACACAACCTTTGTAATGACTGTCATGAGTACAAGAAGTCACAAAGAGGTTTCTCCACAAGATTGGCATGAGAAAGTGAGCAGTTCTGAGGTCCACCGGGACGTCAATATAGAGCTACTCCACCTTCGGAAGAAGGGATACTGTTTACAAACTGCCTGAGGATTTAGGGGAGAACCTAAATATACAAGTTAAAACCAATGTACTTGATGTATGTTACACAGACGTGCCCTTAGTTCGCCTGTTAATCTTTCCTATCAAAACGTCAAAAGGATGTTCCTTTGCTCAGGTGTGCCGAGATCTTGAATAAATGCCATAAATTCTGAGAAAACGTGTATTCGGGCAGAATTCTCTTCTAAGAATGTGTAATGTAAACATGCAGGTTGCACTGTGATTGCATCACAGCACAACAGACATTTATAAGTGCTCAGCGTGTCAAAATAAAAGGAAAAACGTTTAGGCAAGCGGCGACCTGCCATCGGGAGTGAAGTGAAATTTAAGGCGCACAAAAGTGAACGGATCTGTGGCTGCCGGCCATTGTGTTTATTTCGGAACTGGACACACCCTGGGAGGTACTGACATTTCGAGGAACAGGCGATCAACGTTAATCAAACATTCTTTCGAAACATCCAGCTGGATCTTACATTTCTCGACGACCAAGTTCGTGCCTGAGCACTCTGGCATTCATTTCTAGAAACAACTGCACTATCAGAGAGTGATTCATCAAAGAATGATTCTCCGAGGAATATTTACTCCCCGTCTCTGCCGTGGTAACATTCTAAAAGCATAGTATTTATAAACTTTCGCTTCAGATGTGTCAGGATGAAATGTCACTGTCTCCAATAAACAACCAGTTCATACATATTTTACCAAAAAACTGATCCAAAACAGGAAAAGGGAAGTGACAATTAAATTATTTTTTTTATCAAAAGACTTCATCGCGCCAATTCACCCATCCATCCATCCATCCATCCAGTAACATTCAGTGTGTACCCTTATGTCTACAGCTCACAGGCAGGAAATGTAACTGTGTGTAACAGCAGCACAGCCAGAGACAACAAGATTGGGCTGATGTGAGAAATGTAGTTAAATATAATTGCATAAACCAACAAGCAATACTTCCTTCCAATTTAATAAAATGCTTTGTCTGTGCTACTGAAATGAGAAATCAGAGTGTTTCTGAAGAATCACATAGCCGCTGTCTGATTCCCTCTCCTCCCTCTCTCCATTTTAAACCTGTGAAATACTTAAAGAAACTCCTGAAATAGCACGGATGTTTAGTTCCAGGAGTTTTGTTACTAAAAGCATACCCACAGGGCTGTGTGCATTTCCAAAGACAGAAAAAAATATATAATGTTGATGTTCCCAGCAGATCTGCACAAAAGCGGTACGGCCTCCATTTTGGAAAGCATATTAATGACAGAGGAGGATAAATGGTTTCATGGCGCTGAAAGTGGCTGGCAGAATACAAAGGAGGGAGGCCGGTTACAAACACACACCCACCCAAAACAGAGAAAGTGAGTAAAACTTAGTGAACATGCGCCCAGGGGCTGGAAGATGAAACAGGAAGTTTTCATTTTTGTAGGATGATGCAATTTACCTCCAGGAGTTCACCATTTCTCTGCAAATCTCCAGCAACCCCACTGACTTAAAGTTATGCCTTATATTTATTAATCTTCTCTACAATATCATGCGTTCGCATTCACATTACATCCTGCTTCATTGATAGACATTCCAAAAGTCGCTCCATAATTTGCAGTAACCATTCAATCTACCCATCAATTTCTTGACTCAACCACTAGCATATCCGTTTTGGCTAATCAACACCTCACAATTATTTAACTAATTCTCTTAATTAGCTGGAGGAGAAATTTAATGAATACAGGAATGGCTGGGGTGCGCCTGAGGAGAGGTTTGGTAACTAAAGTGAGATTCTTCTTGCCATCCAACAAGATTTCAGTAACTTTTTGTAAAACAGAAGAAATTCTTGTTTTTTTTGTGTTACTCATTTGCATAAATTCTAATGTTTTTGGAGCAAAAACTACACTTACTACCCAGATAAATAACTTTAACTACTTTCTTTGACTGCCTAAAACTTTTGCTCAGTACATACCCTTATATTAATAGGTATGACCCCTTTTTGTCTAAGAACACCCCATATTCCTTCTATTAAGGACCCAACAAGGTGCTGGAGAAATTCCTTACTGATTCTGCTCCATGTTGACATGATTTCATCACAAAATTGCTGCAGATTTGTCATCAGTACATTCCTGCCATGTGTCTCCCGTTCCACCACATTACCAGATTCAGATCTGGCAAATGGGGAGACCGAATTCATGATCATATTCATGAAGCTACAGTACTTTGACATGAGGGGTATTAAGGGGTTGACGTGTGCCCAGGAAACACCCCCCCCCACACACACACACACGTCATTACACCACCAACAGCGGGAACAGCTGATACAGGGCCGGTCTGGACCATGGATTCATGCTATTTATGCCAAATTCTAACCCTACCATCTGTATCTCACAGCAAAAAAGGAAGATTCGCCGGTTCAACTAAACTGCCCAGTTTTCACCAGTTTTGGTGGCCCTGCACCTGTCTCAGCCAAAGTCACATTATTCCTCATTCTGACAATTGATGGACTGAAGCTCTTGGCCGGTGATGTGCACAAACTTTTCGAAGGGCAGGTGCTTGCATAGGGGGCATGGCTGAGTGCTACGTTTTGCTGGCTGGTGGGGGGGGGGGGGATCTACCTCTTTGTGTTCGCAGTCAGGTGGGTACCCATCGGTAAATTTTTGCAATGGCATTATCGAAAAACAGTTCTTGGGTCATCGAAGATGGGCCACTTTCATTCGTGCTCAGTCACCTTCTGCCCCCCCCCCCCCAAGCTTGTGGTTTTCTGCACTGGGCTGCTGCCATGTGATTGATTGCGTACATAATTGCTTGAAGGAGCAGGTGTACAGCTGCAGTAGGCAGATATATAGAATTACTGGGAGAAATGCAGTGACTGGCATTGTTTTAAGATGCAATGATAATTATTTTAACCCCTTGCCGGTGGGTCATTTCTTTGCCCTTACTGGTATAAGCCAAGCACTACTTGAAAGGGTATGGTAACCCCAATATTGCATGCAGTCTTGAGGGGCCTATTAAGGAGATCTCTTGGAAAAAAGGTTATTCTGCACGTAATAAGTATGATAATAGAGCCAGCATGCAGCTCAGTGGGCATATCCTCTGTGATCAGAAGGTCACCGGTTGGAGCCCCGCTTCAGCAGAACTGTCACAGTCTGTGGGTCCTTGGGCAAGGCCCTTAACCCCCAGCTCCCTGGGTGCCACAAGATGGCTGCCTCTTCAAGTGAAAAGAGAATTTCCCCACGCGGAGTAATAAAGTATTGCTGTTATAATTATAAGCATTTTAGTATTACATAATAAGTTAATAAACGTTTATAACAGCATGAACTCCCAGTAGAATTTAGAATGATCGTAAATCAAACGGAAGCAATTAATTGACTGACACAATGAGATCAAGGAGCCGAAAGGACAGCCAAAAATACACAGTTCCCTTTGTTTTATACATTTGAAAAAAAAGGAAAAAGTCCCAGTCAAGTGCTCACCATTCCAAACAATATTTCACAGAATAAAGCTGGTTTGGGAAAAACAAATTTAAGTCTTGCGGCCACCGTTACGCAATAGTTCACGAAGGATTTCAGCTGTTGATTGCAACAGGGATTACGACGATTATTCTACTGTATTGTTGATAGTGACACATTTCTCTCAGATTAAATAAATTATGCAAAACTTTATTAATTTAACAAGATAAACCTAGTTGTTATCTAATTTTAACTAAAATGCATTTAAATAGTCTAGGGAATATCTTACCTTATTGCATGCTAGTTGCAGAAATTCGTGCGGAGTTCGTTTGCGGAATTCTTGCGTTATTTCTTCACTGACTTTGTGCAATGACTGGGGACCGACTTTCTCGTGCATGCACTTATTTAAGCAGGACGCCCTTAGCATCGCCGAGCCGAAGAACTGCGCTGCTTCCGAGGGATGCTGGTCCAGACACAGCAGCCTACAGTGAATTTTAGTTCGGCGAAGTTCATAGTAACTGTGCAGAGCTTTCTCTATATAAAGCACCGCGTTATTAAAGTCATTTCTGTAAAATGCATCAGTCCCGTCTTGGTATAGTCGGTCAAATGGCTCCAGCAAAGGAAGAACCGGCGAGAGCAAAAACAACTGAAAAAGCGTTGATTTTAGGGCGAAAAGTGCACTTGGAGATGAACTAATATCCATCTTATTTGATAGTTGTACTTGACAGAAGCAGTTCGTAAACATCACAGCATCACAAGTCAAGAGTAAACAGGCTGATCACCGAGACCGTAAGTGATCGCAATGCCAGCTTGGAAAAGTTCAGGAAAAATCTAATCATAGACTTTCCCATATAGGCAATTCACTTTCATCAGTTCTATCCTTGATAAATCAGAACCCAAAGGAACCCAAACGAAAATTAAATTAAATGTTCTAATCACTAAATATATTTTTCACAGACCCAGTCTATAGATAATTTATAAGTAAAGGTTGAATAAATTATGATTTATCAGTGTAACCAAAGCTAACAAAAAAATCAACAAAACAAGTGAGAAAATATCAGTGTTGTTGGATTTAAAGTGAGCGCAGAGCCACATATTACACAATAAGCCACAATACCAAAATAAATCGTCACTGAAGCGGCGTAATGGTCTTTTTGGACACTAGAGGGAGACAGAGTACGCTAGAAATTTACCACGAACTTGCATGGCGCTACATGCAATGGGACGAGTTTGAAAAATTAGACAATTAACCAAGAAGTTCAAAAAAGAGTATTTTAACCTATTAATAGCCGCTGAATTTTGTTGTCTCTCCATTTAAGAAAGAAACTAGACGCGAGTCAGTTGTAGTCACCTGGACAGAGAATGAATAGGCGGGAGTTTTACTAGCATCCTTACCGGAAAATAAAGTGTAGGCTAGATCAACACATTTTCAGATGAACAATGTTGGAATGGGTACCCTTAAAAGCAACACGGGAAGATGGATCCTTGATTTCTAAAACACACAGAAGAAGCGCAGGTCTAACAGAACGAAAAATATCTTGTTCGAAACAAGGAAAATTAGGCTACATTCCTCCCCGCAGGCACTAGAAATTTGTAACGTTTATCTTTTAACAACAAAACAACACCTTAATATGCATCTGCAAAACCTGTATGCAACAATCCGAAAGCCCACGTCCGCGTAAACTCTTCTTTTGCCTACATTATATCCCGATCTTGCGTAGGTTCTGCATAATCTTTTATCTTTAAAACAATGTACACTTGGTTTCCTACTGCTTTGTCAGGTGAAACAACAGCATAAAAACAACATTTTAACTGTAAAGCTTGCCTGTAAACCCTGTTTAATTCCGAACAAATATGAGCGATTTTTTTCTGAAACGTCTGAATTTCCCAGTAGGCTATTCGGTGTCGATTAAGAGAAATCTGACATTTTTTTAAAATGTGTTAGTATCATAATGCACTGGCATGTCTGACCGATACCAATATACAAGTCTTTGCAAGTCTCTCAGATTCAAATCTCTGAGTTGGTACAACCCATTATAGTCTAAGTCAGGTCAACACCTGGGTACCTCCTCTCACTGAACTGAGATCAGTTACCCTATTGGTCCAGGCATCAACCACTCTCTAGAACAGGGGTGGGCAATCTCATCCAGAAAGGGCTGCTGTGTATGTGGGTTTTTGCTTAAACTCCCTAATTAGATTACTAATTAGAGGATTGATTGGCTGAGGAGTCCTCACGCCTGGGTTTGAACAGCTGACCTAAAGGTTATTCCAAAAATCTTCATACACACCGGCCCTTTGCGGATATGATTGCCCACCCCTGCTCTGGAACCTTCTCTCCATTCTTCTTCATTTTTTCTCTCACAGATCAAGTGTCCGATGAGTCTGACTGGAGTCCCTATCACTCTTTGAAACAATCTCCCATGACCCCCCCCCAGTAGATGACATGTGCCAGAAGTACCTTCTGATAAATCTGCTGGCTCACAAACGTCTATGTATGACATGGTTCGAATTGCAAAGAGAACTTACAGAAGAGCATCCTTTGCTCATCTAATATCCTTCACAAATTCGAGATGGGAGCGTGGGGGATTGCTTTCACAAGGCTTGCCTCACCATTCATTGCGCTATTGTTCCCAACCTGATTATGGGGTTTATGGTGCAGGTATAATTTTCCTGTGCACAAGGCTAGGTTAGGCCTACATCCTAGAAGCTACTGAGCTATTCATTACACTGAAATACCTGTCCTTTCAAAATGTATTAACTGTATGATCTCACAACATGTTCACGGACATGAACGGTCAATCACAATAATCTCAAATGGGAAATTAATTTATTACGGAAAACTGACTGCTTCCGGTTTAAGATTTTAGTTAAAATGCTAAACAGCTTTGTACTTTGGGGAGGTGCAGTGGTTAACAATGTTGCCTTACACCTCTGGGATCAGGGTTCGAGTCTCCGCCATGGCTCCATGTGTATGGAGTTTGCATGTTCCCCCCATGTCATCGTGGGGTTTCCTTTGGGTACTCCGGTTCCCCCCCCCCCAGTCCAAAAACATGCTGAGGTTAATTGGAGTCACCAAATTGCCCGTAGGTGGGCATGTGTGAATGTGCCCGGTGACGCATCCTGGGTTGTTCCCTGCCCAGTGCCCATAGGCTCCAGACCCCCTGTAACCCTGACTAGGACAAGCGGTTACATAAAATGGATGGAGGGATATTTTAATTCAACTAATAGCAGCTTTACTGGGCTTTGTATGAGCGGAAAAGAAAATAAAATCACAAATCTCTTTTTACTCCAAAAAAACAGGCAGCACAAATATCGTGAAAGACAAATGACTGCAGGCCTTTAGCTGATGGCGGCCGACAGAATGATCTCATCAATACTGGACCACTGAGCAAGTCTTTAGGGTCTGGATACTGCTGCAGCAGTGTCTAATAAACAACTGAGCCTAAACCTCTGACCCAAAGCTTTGGTGTCATCTCTACACAGCAAGAAGCCTATATTTGTATTGTTATCACAATAAACAGCATATGGAGAAGTTAATGATAAGGGAAGGTACAGAACACCTCAATCTTAACACTGCGTATCTGATACTGTAACGGTGAGAATGTTTTCATCCCAAAGATAAATCAATTGATGTAATTATCATACAGATTTTAACAAACATATATAGCAATAACAGAGCCAGAAATCATGGCGTGGGTGGGCCCGGCAGAAAATAGGACATAATTCACTTGGTGATAAAATCACACTACAGTCAGCTACATATTTTTAAATCAGTTTTTAAACGACCTGTGGCATTACTAAGGCCAAATGAACGAAGAGAAAGAAAAATTTGCATCTCAACAGCACTTTTGCGCTGACTGATTTAACCACACACACACATACCTAACGACATAATCATTGTATCGTACTGTATCGCTTCCTGTGAGCGCTGAATGGCTCAGCCGGGGTTTCACCTGGGTGGGCCTGGGATAACGCAGGTCCAGCCTTGCTGCCTTGGTAGATTTACACATCTCAGAGTGGCCTGAGATTCCAGAATGTGTGTTAGATGAGACATGAATTTAACTGGTGGCGTCCTAGAAACATCGCAAACCATATAACTCAGAATTCCTTAAACCCATAACCTTGCTTATTGGACCTTAATGAACGATTTTTTAAATTCTTCTTCTGATTATTATTATAATCATCATTATTTTTGCTACACAAAACCCTGTAGAAAACACAGAGAAAGTCAGGTCCTTTATGGTTGGGATTACTGCCCCGATTGTGTCATTTGTTATGATATGGTGCAAATAATATAACCACCATATCTCCTTCCTCTGTGGCACAGCAGATGAGATATTTAAGTGCTTTATTTTATCCGGGAACTCTTAACAAGAAGAGCCTGTTGGAGAGGAAGCCGCATGAGAAGCAGAACCTTTCAGATGTCCTGTTTCTTCTTCCTAATCATCATATGATTGTCTTCTTCCCGCTCACCGGTAAACACACCTGGATGATGGATGATCCTATACCCTATTACAGCCCTTCTGCATCCCCATAGCTGTCGTCTTTTCTTATATGTTTTCCCTGCACTGCTCCAATAACAACAATCTTGTGCCCCCCCCCCCCTCCACCTTCCTTAAACCCATGGCCACATCCATCCATGAATCAAGTCTCTATTCCTTCCTCCCACCTCTGTGTCACACGATCCTTCTTGCCATCCAACCCAGTCTTACACCATCCAGACAGTCACCAGCAAACAGCAGGGAGAGCCAGCGGCTCTAATGACACCTTGCAGCCAACAACAACCAAGCTACCTGCTTGTTGTTACCAAGTTAAAATGCTGAGAACCCACAATAAGCCATTCTAGAAACTTTTCTATGACTAAAAATAACTTCACAACAGTGTCTACATTGTTGGGCAATCTTACAAGCAAAAACACTAAAGACAGGATGAGTTTGTGGTCCATGATCTCACAGATTTTTTTTTCCCAGCTGGCTAACGGTGAAAAACAACGTATCACAGTAACTATTTTTAACACTTGGCCGTTCCACTAAAAACACGTTTAAATCTATGTCAGATGTCTGATTTTTTAAACAGCAATCTTAGAAATTGTTATAAAACCCAGTGATGCTAAACATTTACAAAAAAAACACATTCAAGATTCTAAACTCGCTATATAAACAAAATACCACAGATGCATTTTTCACAGGAAACAAAAGTTACATAATCAGTGGCCTGATGCAGTATTTCAAATTACTTGCACGAATGGAAGAATTCAAAACCAGTGCTTATCTTTGGAGAAATTATAGTGTTTTTTCAGTTTATTTGTTTAAGAAAAGTAACAACATACAAGTAATATCCCCGAGAATTTGTGCTTGTGACAATTTTTACAGCACAGAATACTATAAAACCTCGTTGCCCTATAGTTAGAAACTACAGCATTTATGAACCAAAATCTGCAATGTTTAAGTATAATTTCAGTTTATATTAACATTTGGTTGATATCATGCATGTATATAAATCCAAATTATACACATCATTTTATAAATAAAACACAAATTATGTCAACATTTTCATTCAAGCCATTGAAATTGGGATCTTGGCACTTTAACGTCACATTTAAAAACAATTTATACTCTCAACTAAAAGGATGCTTTCCTGTGAATTATACATGAGTGATAAAGAACAGGTCAGCAAACCAGAACAGCTATACAAAGCACTGTTAGAACCTAACATCAGAAAAGCTAGTGAAATGAAAACACTATGAAGACTAGGAATAAAAACTAATATTTCTAGGTAAACTTTATAGTTTATGCTTTCATCTAAACCCATTCTGCTATATTAACAGCATACTTTGGTTTTAAATATAAAGTGATTGTTATTGTCTGTTCTAGCTGTTATTTTTTGTAATAAACATCCAATCACGTTCATATATGTGCACAAAACGTACACATACTCATACACCAGACAAAATAACATCGATTCAGTCACGATTCAAACTAAAATAGTCATTGAAATGGTTGTATTTGTACGCAGGTTTGTTATGAAATGCCACAAACTACTACAACCCTTGGCAGTAACCGCTGGTGCAGTCGACCCTTTCTCTTCCGTTTTCCAGAACCTCTAGTTGTCCTGCCCTTAAACCGAGAGCCGCACGGCCTCTATACGTAGCCGGAGGCTGCAGGCTGGCTGGACTTGGGATACCGTGCGGAGGACTTAGAGGCAGCGCCATGGCAGTGGCAACACAGGAAGCCCCCACCCAGCATGGAGAGAGCGGCGGCACCCCAACCCACAAACAAGGCGGAGCCAAACTCGTACCTACAACACAAAAAAAAACAAAACAGCAATTTATTTTCATGCAACGGCTCCTCCTCAGTATTGGTCTGATAATGGATGAGATCATAAATTCAAGCTTTAGGGCTACAAGATATCTTATCAGTAAACTCACTAAACAAGATTTTATCAATGTGGATGTGTGGATGCATTTTCACCTGAAGCTTATTGTAAAACCACTACAAAATATTTCAGTGGGGTGCCTGTATTTTCACATTTTTCATGACCTGGGGCAGCGCATAGTTTGTTCCTAGGTGCGTTCTAGGGGTGTAGGAGGCCAACCACAGTGAAAATAGTAACACAGGGAGTGTGCTTCTGGATTTCTGCCTCCACTTAGAGCATGGAGCCACTGTTAAACTTCTCGGAATTACGTTGTACCTGGCATTGGTGGGCGTGAAGGGGTTGTAGAAATCTGTGGCTATTTTATTACCATACCAAGAGGTTCCAACCAGAGCACAGAAGCCTGCAACAAAGGGGGGGGGGGGATTTAAGAGATGAAGCACTTTAACAACATTAGCACAAGCCTCTAAGGTCTAAACAAATAAAAATATGAGTATGGGCCTTCGATAGCTTTTATCTTAATATGTGCATCTATCTGATTCTTTGCTGGACTTGAAATGTGAACAGAACATGTTTCCTGCTGACCTGCCACGATAAAGAACACCCCACCAGCGATGGCCACCTTGTCCTTCTGCTCGGGGGCATCCGCCATGCAGGTGGTGCACTTCATGCCCACCATGGCCACCAGCAGACCCAGGCCTGAGAGCAGTATGCTGGCAATCATCAGGGCGCGAGTGGCCTGGATCTCAGCTGAAAGCCAGAGCAAGGACAGTCATCTTCTCAGAGATTCGGAGGCCGAGGCCGTTCCTTCACTGCTTGGCCAGTGCCTTGCAGCTATGCTTCCCAACCCAGTCCATGGGGACACCCCCTAGACAGTCCACATTTTCGCTCCCTTCCAGCTCCCAGCCAATGAATAACACCGAACCAGCAAAAATGTGGACTGTCGAGGGTAGTCTCCAGAGAAACACTGCCTTACAGGGAGATATCTTAATTGGGCGTCAGGTTAATGTTTTTCTTGTGAATACAACTGCAAGGAGGATATTGAACCAGAAACAGGCTCCCAGTCAATCGTTTGAATGTTTTGAGTCTTGCGTCGAAGGCAGTTTTTACTTACATAAGCTCCTAAACCTTAATGGTTGTTTTGGAGCTTCTAACTGTACATTCATATTGTATGTAGCACAATACATGCAAACTGCTAGTATGGATTAAAAAATACACACTTTGCCTGCACCCTCTGGCACCAACAACATTGCTACAACGTTCCTCGAGCACTGGGTGAACGTGGCCATTTAGAGCGGAGTAGGGGATGGTGGTAGGGGATCAAAGGGTTACTGTGTGTCATAACAGGGTTTGCTCTGCCATTTCATGTTGGAGGGGCCTGGCTATTCCAGGAATTCACCTAACGTGTAATTACATGCACGGGCATCTTGGAGAGAAGTAGCGGAATTGCAAAAAACGCTATCTGAAATAGATGCACTTCTTTGGACAGTCAAAGTTACTACATAAATAATCAGCATCATTCACTGAAGTGTGGTGAGAATTTGTCATAGATGAAAGCACAGTTATCGTTATGTCAGTCGGTGATCATATTAGACACATGGATTTGCAAAAATCCATTGCTATTTTTCTTCAGAGGCTATAATACTTTTACAATGTTACACCTATAAGCGGGGATTCTGAGTCTCTGTCACACACAGAAATACACAAAGTAATATATGCATTTAGAACAATTTAACGTGAAATACATGAATTCGCCTAAACGTTTGTCTACTCACCGGGCATCTGGAGAAGTGAGTCATAAACTTTGCACTGGATCTGGCCGGTGCTCTGAGACACGCAGGTCTTCCAGAGCCCCTCGTACATCGCCTGTGCTGTCACGATGTTCTGCCCCGCGTAGGATGAAGCCTTCCACTCCACCATAGCGGTCGACGCTATCAGACCGATCAATCCTATGACAGCCATGGAAAACCCCAGCAGCTGGACCCCCAGGTTTGCCATTTCCCCCCTTAGAAAATCACAGCTACCAATGCAGAAATGAAAATAAAGGTAAACAGAGATACAGAAAAGTTACTGTTAAAAAATAATGAAAAAAGGAAGAACAATGCAGTGGTGAAACAAAAAATTACAGTCCGTAAAATTATTCTGGGAAAACTACAAATCTGAGGGTATAGCTGTTCCTCAGTCTCCCCTTGTGTTGATCTGAATGAAGATGTAGAGGGACTCAAACCCTAATTTAAATGAGCACGAAACAGCTCATTACCTCCCCCTGATGGTTTGTGCCAGCTGCTGCAAGTCTTAGCAATAGTGCATGTCAGTAGTTCTCAGTCCTGTTCCTATAGAGGAGCCCCAGCCAGAATGATTGCAGTCCAATCCTATGTGTTAATCAAAGTCCTTAATAGGCTAATAACTAATGCAGCAGGTTTAAATAAGTGAAGGTTGGAATGAATACATTGTGGTGTGTGTGTGTGTGTGGGGGGGTGCCAGGAACAGTATATTTTCCTGGGTGATGTGCACATTAAGTAAAATATCTCAGCTATCACTTAATACAGTTATAGGTTAGTAAACTGGCCAAAATCTTTACAAGTACTGTTACTGTACAAACAAAAAATATTCCTAAAATATAAGTAGAGGAGAGTGGGATGAGTTGTGCCAGTTTTTACTTAAAGTGACTTTAAAGCGAGGGCATGACAGTAATATGTGCATATATTTGTACATGTACACATATTTCAGGATGTGGTGCATCCCTGGGAACAATCACTTTGGATCTGAAATACAGTATTTAAGAAATATAGCTTTCTGAAAAAAAGTGGTCTCGTGCCACAACTTGCCCCCGGTTGTGGGGTAAGTTGTGCCTTTGGAGAGAATACATTGGGGTAAATTGTGCCATTGATTATTTAAGTAAAACAGTATATTTTGATCTCAGAAACTGTAATTTTATATAAAAGCTAGACAAATTCAATACAAAATTGCTCATTTAAGGTTTATTTGAAGTTATTTCACAACATCAAAGGTCAATTTTCTACAAGCCTATTGCGCCACATGAGCACATGCTCAGAACAAAATGAAATCCAAGTGAAGACCAAATTGACTGCACTTCTCTTTACAGATATGGCCGCCTACATAATATCCCACTTGTCGAAGGTACAGGGGAATATAAATTTCTGCTCCCTTCTGGCTGTATCACCAAGTCTTTGTGATGTGGGTAGTTTCTTATGCACATCTTCTATAGGGATGAGTCCTTCATCGTTTTCTTTGAAAGTGAAGATGGGCTTTCCATCCACAGACCTCATTACTTCCCCTTCTCCACCTCGTTCACTGCTCTGTCCATGTCGTCTAGAGGAGTGGAAGCCCTGCCTGTCTTCCTTTTATAACTCCGTGGCATGATGGTCTATTTCTATTTTTGGTATAAAATTAAGAATGCCACATAGTTTTAGTGATAAAATGTAAGAATACAATGTACAATTACAATAAAATAATATGTTTAAAATATTCATAAGTGGGGGTGAGTTATGCCACTGGCACAACCTAACCCAGGCCCTTTGGCACAAATCACGCCAACACCATCCTTTTGGAAAAAATGCATCATCCAGCAGTTTTGAGCTAACATCATGCTAGCAGTATAGACTCGTAGGGTATCTTACCAAAGCACTAAAATATGTGTGAAATGGTTTGTCTATAACTATTCAGACACAACGATCAAAAAACCTTAATCATAGAAATTTTACTTTGAAAGGCAAAAAACGTTTTTGTTTTTTTTTGTTTTTTTTTTTTACTTAAATGTGCTTACCTCTCATGCAATTAGGCTCTCTTCTTTGCATGATGAGTTAAATGGCTGACTCTTCAAAAATGTGTGGTCACATGACCAATTTCTTCTATGGTTCCATAGAAACAAGAGGTGGCACAAGTCCCCCCCTGGCGCAAATCACCCCACTCTCCCCTACATATATTCATCAAAATAACTACTTAAGTAAGAGGAAGAAAATATCAAGCAAATGTACTGAATTATACGGACCCCCTTAGGTGTAACGGTAGAAAAAAATATTATTTCGTTCCCTCGAATTACTTAATCGTACCCTCGAATTACTAATTCTTGCAATCCATTTAGTAAATCGTACCCTAAAATTAGTAAATCGTGCGCTCGATTTAGTAATTCGTGCCCGCGAATTATGTATTGCTAAACTATTGATCATTCATGGACACAGGGTCATGGAGCGTTTCCATTTAATGCATTCCGGTGTCCCAAGAAATAACAAACATAAAAAATGTCCTGGTTTTAACAGGCTGCCCATCTAACAAACTGTGATATTATTCAGCAAGCATATTTCGGTTGAGGACCGGAATTATGTGTGGACATGCTACACAAGTGTCCCTGTTGCACGCATGTAGCCACAGTATTTGTCGAGAATATCCGTCGATTGATCCATTTATATAAATTTCGAAAGGTTTCATTTTATCATAGGAGTCTAAGTGCCATACAAAGTTGGGACCATTTGAGGAATATGCACTCCGGTTAAGGCGTCTCGTAATTCGTGGGTATGATTTAATAATTCGAGGGTACGAACGATTTACTAAATCGAGTGCACGATTTCCAGCCCCTTTTATTTGTTTCTCAGTTGAATTAAATTTAGAGTTCAAGGAAATCTACTGTTAAAAAGACATTTTTAAAAAGTTCAATAAATGAGAGATATTTACAATGTCATTAGGTAATCGTGTTAAATAATTGTGACCAAAATCGTGTTCGTGATATTTGCCATAAAGGAGCAGCCCTGTATGCCAATCACGGTGCACTGGACACGTACACACACACACTGTCATACAACATGCCCAATTTGGAGATGCCAAAGAACTTAACTGGATGTCTTTTGACTGCTGGAGGAAATCTACATGACACAATGAAAACTCTCAGAATACATGTAAAACATAAAGACTAATAAACAAGTATACATTGATGTGATTTTTCAGAAACGTACTTGTGGGCTCTTCTCAAACACCCTTCTCAAAAAACACTATCATGACAAATAACCAGGCTTTACTCACTTACATGGCTTGATAATTTACAGACCAGCAATTAAGATGCAGCCACAACATATACTGTATGTGGCCCATTCTTGGACTTGAACCAACATTTTGTAGTTTCATAATCACATTATCATTTAATATAAGTTGCAGACAGGACGTGTTAATTCTGTATATGTGTTTTTTTCCCTGCAACTCCCTAATTAGATTACTAATTTGAGAAATGAATGGCTGAAGTGTCCTCACACCTGGATTTGAACAGCTGACCTACAGGTTATCCATAAATCCTGCATACAACACCGGCCCTTTGTGGATAAGACTGCGCAACCCGGGTAAATGTGGTAAGGATGCACAGTATAATAGCATATAATACCTTCTGTGCTGAATTAACTTTCAGAAACGGAATGCTTACATCACTCTGGGCTCTGTGAGCTTTGTGTGAACAAGTCGTGGCATGTCACATGACATCCAGTAACCACAGAATAGGGGGGGAGGCTGATAAGGCTTATTTTTTCCACCCCCACCCCCCCACGCATACACTTCATTTAAATAAGATAAATTTGAGTTAAACAAAAACTTGTAGTTCTGAAATTGTACCATGTCAGTAACCCCAGTACTGTGTGATATAACTGCAGTATTGCGTTAGTATTGCAGTGTTTGGAACTATTTAAAATCGGGTTTTTCATTATTTTACTTTACGCTAGTTTCAGATAGCGACTAGTTTATACTAGGTCACAGCAATTGTTAAAATGTATTGGGCTAAACAGGAACTTACTCTATTGCCTAAATATTTTATTCCAGTAAACTCCATCTAAATGCGTGTTTACACAGGATAGTCACATTCCTTTGACAAACCATCAAGGGAACAAAACTGAAAAACATCCCTCAAAGATGAAGGTAGTATGACTAGGCCTATCTGAAACATAATTTCCCGTACGTTGTGCCTATGCAGGGAAATAAACTCATTTTGTGTATTTCACAATGGTGTAATCGGCCCCGAACCCTCTGTCCCCCAAAACACACACAGTACTCTCTCAGTATTGATACAGACGTGTCCCTACCATACATACATACTGTATATACACGCCCCTGTTTCAGCGCTGGGCATGTTTTCTTCTCCACGAATGGCTTTTTGTGACGTGGCCTAGCCACTGCTATGAGCTGTAGCGAGCACCTGGTGCATCGAGGGCACGTGCCGACACGCACTGCCCTGACACGGGTAACTCAGGAATGCACGCGTAGATAAAGGAAGTATGCAGTGCATCGAATCGGTAGAAAACTGCAAAAGCACTGGGGACATAATGGGATCGTGTCTCGAGAAAAATGACTTTCATCTCTGACATGTATAGAGACCTCAGGGTAATGTCCTAGTTGTAAGCTGCAATTAAACCTGCGGTATGTTTTACAGTGTCAGTGTCTTTAATGACGTCTGTGCTAACAACATGGGGGTTGTTATAAATAAATAAGGCAACAGGTTTTATTCTGTCAACATTTTTTCCTGACATTATTCCAGTAGAAATTTAAAAATGCTTACAAGTCATGTAAAACATATTTTGTCTATATCAAGTAACACAATATTTTATATATTGGTTGTAAAATCCATTATTTTGCTGGATGATGTCTTTCATTAAACTGAATGAGTCACTGCAACTGCAATGTGCCAGTGCACATAAATCCAGTAACTGGATGTAGCCTTTAATGAAAATATGCACAAGTCTTCCCAATTGAACAATAAATGTTTTATTGACATTAAAAACAGACTGTCAGCAATCTCATAACCTCATTCTCCATTCTATTAATACAATAATGATTATAGACAGCTTAAGTGTTCTTAAGAGCAATATGAACTGTAAAGTGTAAAGTGTCCTGTAAAGTGTGCTTTACTCATTTAAGCTTTGGAGGACAATGCATACCATGTATAACTTTCATATGATGTGTTTTCTTTACTTTACTTTTATAAGCCTGCTTTGCCTTGCGGTAACCAGTATACCCGTATACTTCTACCCGAGGCTAATAATTTTGCACGCACAGAAAACATGACGAGAAAAAGAAAGGCATTTTCTCTCAGTGACAAATATAGACTCATCGAAGTTTATGATATACTAACAAAAACAAGCAGCGAAACTACAATAAGCTATAGGCCTATTTTATGTACGGTACTGTACTGTATTATAGTGCTTTTGAATTTTATTTGTATTGTATCAT